TTTGGAGAGATTTTTGCTATAGGGCACGTGCGCTCGCCAGACAGAGAGAGACAGAGAGACAGAAAGTGAGAAATCACCCCCCAGGGAGGATGACCATGCCACAATCCCTTCTCTTCCATTCTCCTCTCAGGATCTTGGGCACACACGCACACCCACCCGGCGTGAGTTTAAGCCACCAGGTCCGGGACTTGAACCATGGTCGAACATTCATTTATCTTAATTTGACCAGAGAAAGACAGACACATAAAGAGAAAGTGAGAAAGCAAGCTACCAGGCCCAGGACTCGAACCATGGTCAGTCATGTGGGAATGTCTAGCACCTTAAGCACCACACCACCTGCTGGCCCCCTCAGGCCTATTATTTTCCAGAATATCAGGAGATGATGAAGCCTCAGAGCAATAGTCCTGGGCTCCTGGCTGGCAGGGAGACTAGAGAGGTGTGAGTCCAGAGCTGACAGGAACCTTTTCTCTGAATCCTCTACAGCTGGGAGGGCAGGAACCACGTAATGGGAACTAAAGGTGAGGCTTACACAAAAAAAGGGCAGGAAAGACCAGGCTGTGTGTGTGTGTGTGTGTGTGTGTGTATGTGTTTGTTTTAGAATTAATTAATTCATTCATTCATTTTAATTTGACCAGAGAGAGAGAGAGGGAAAGTGAGAAAGCAAGCCACTAGGTCCAGGACCTGAACCATGGTCTACCATAGGGGAGTGTCTAGCTCTTTAACCACCACGCCACCTACTGGTCCCCAGGCCTCGTTTTGTCAGTCAGTTTCCTGAGACACAAGGCCTTCTTCCCCATGCCTTGCCCTGGATGCTGGGGCTTATCTGGTCTGGGCCTGCACAAAGTCTGCTCTGGGTGGGCAGGGCCTCTGTTGCCCTGCAACTCATGGTCTGCCTATTAGTTGAAGTACTACCTTTGGAGCAGATGAAAGAAATGAGCTATTTTGGTCACTGAGCAATGATTTGGCCTTCCCTGGCTAGGAAGCCTATTGTCCCAGAGGAAGGTTGGGAGCCTGCTATCCCTCAGTGGCACTCTGGTGAAAGGAGGGCCTTTGAAAGCCAACAGAGAATGTGGCCCAGACTTCCAGGGGTCTTTGTAGTCAGCGGGATCATGCAGCGCCTCTTACTGATGGAGCAGAGAGGGTCATGCCAGGAGGAAGGAGCCATGTATAAAGAAAGGTACTGGTGCCTGTGGACCGGGGCTCAGATCCCAACTTCCCTTATACCAGCTTGTGCTTTGGGCAAATGATTCAGCCTTGTGTTTTTCAGCTCTACTTCAAGGGGTTACTGTGGGGGTCAAGTGAACCATGAGTAATGACAGCTGGGTAGTCTTCTAAGAACTTCAGGTGTATTAACTCATTGATGCTCATAGTGACCCCTCAGAGGCAGTTCTGTACTACCCTCATTCTATGTATGGAGAAACTGGGGTGCAGAGAAGTTCATTAACTCGTCACCCTATGAGAAGGTGTAAGGATTTGACTCTAGGACGGGTAGCCGGGTCATCACTTTTCCCACTGGGCTGTAGTGTAGTGTCGTAGGCTGATACACCCACAGTACTCGGCACTATCCCTCGCACACAGTAACTCCAAGGACTGGGGTTCGCTTCGGGCTCTCTTGGCCTTTTGTGGAAATTGCAGAAGCACCCAGGCAGCTGGATTAGATGACTCTGCCCCCCCCCACACACACACACACACTGCGTGTCATGATCTCATGTCCCATGAGGCCCTGGATTGGTGCGTTTGGAGGAGGGTACTTGGGAGGAGAGGGCAGGCCATCCCCTTGGACTTTCCCCTCCTCTGCCTGCTATGAGGTAGCTTTGGTTAATGATTGACAGGCCAAAGGGTGCCCCAGGGCTGCCTCAAGGGAGTTGGCCTCGTGCCCTTCTTTCCCTTGGGTCTCCCACCCCTGCACGTAGCCAACCATTTAATCATGTCTGGCTAAACCAACTGGAATGCTACCTGCGGTCAGAGGGGGAGGGGGTCAGCCAGGCTGCTTGCGCCCTCCTCGCTGCCTTGGGCATGGCCCTTGGAAGGTCTGTCGCTGGCCTGCCGGGCAGCAAGCGGGGATTCGGAGAGCTGGGAGAGCTGAGAAGGGCCAAACCCTGGTCTTTTTCTGAGGTCAGGTCCACACTGGGGGTCCAGCTTCTTGGTGGGCCAAGCTTGGGTTACAGAGAAACTTGGCCTGAGGGTCTAGAATGCCTTTTGGAGGAGCCCTCCAACAGTTAATCCGAGATACTGTCGTGAGAAACTAGTTTCTGGGGAGTCAGGGCAGGGGCTGCCCAGCTGTTGGTCACTGGATGAGATTGCCTCATCCTCATTTAGGTTATTTGCAGTTATTTCGAAATGTTGGCAAAGCCAGGGTCTCAAAGTACAGGGCTGTGAGGAATGACCGTACCTGTATTATCAGCTTGGGGTACATTGAAAATAAATATTGGCAATGGC